AGATATTTGCCTTTACACAACAGATGTCGCCCTCATTGTGGCACTAAAGGAAATGTTGGGATAACCAAAGTAATTTTTTCTCAACGGCTACCTCAATTATTTCTCAGTTATTTCATATTTATTCTGCCCGCCATCCCTCCCTTCAGCCACATTCCCACTTCCCCAGGCCCCTGCATTGTCCATCCAAACACCAGATGCCCTTAGACTGTCCCACTAGTCACCTGAATCCACCTGCTGACCTGTTTCTCATTTTCCAGTCACCCTGTCAGCATTTACTCTAGCATCTATTCCCCAGTCAGATGCCAGTGGCCTTCGCCTTCCAGCCACCTGAACTTGAACTTGAACCTAAACCCTGATCAAAACCTGCCTGTTTGTACCCTTTACCTGCCCCATTCCATTTAACATGTGGATTCCCAGTCACTTCTGTTTGGATTTGCATCCTTTTCCTGTAAGAACATGTATTATTTTCTTATATTACCATTGAAAGAACTGGCCTTGCCCGGTTGTCTGCATTACTTTTTCTGCCTCTCACACACCCATAATCCACTCACTTGTGATTTATTACGATCTAAGACAGTTTATTATTGGTGAAGAAGTGCATTGCAATTTTGTAGGTAATCGTTGATATGTCAAAAAACAATTTGCCAATATGAAATGAAAAATGAAGTAACATTGAAAATATTTTAGGCTAATAACATTATGTATTCATTTCACAGGGACATACAGTGATGCTCTGTGTACTTGATGGTCTTAACATTCAAATAATACATAATTATAATTATATATTAATAATAATTATACTAGTAACCAATCAGTACAATAGAAGTTTGTTGTATTCATTTAAGATTCGAGATAATTTGTTTTATTACAACAGCTTTTGTTTGTATGAATGACAAATGAAGGCTGGGTTCTTTGGAAAAGTACAATACTCCCTACTTGTGTAATTATTCGAGACCACACACATTCCTAGTACTTTTTGCCCGAATACTCCTTCCAGTACAGCGTGAGCCATCAAAGAATTGCCCAACAATATAATGGCTGCGAGAAAAAAAAAAACACAAAAAAAACTACAAGCAATGGAGGCGTCATTTCCGGTGGAATATTCCAGCTGGTTTATCCTTGGTCTTAAAACGGACGCGCTGAAATAGCGACAGGTAAACAGTCTGATGTTCTGTATGTGCCATTGACAGCGTAGCAACTTCAAACACACAACTCCGTTAACAGACAAAAACAGAGACCAGTCTGCGTGAAAAAGAGAAAAGAAAGAGAAAGAAAAATAAGATCCTGCGTATGCGTGAGCGTGTAGACGTCTCCACCACTGGATTTATCTAGATTTTGTAATCTTTGGAGATCCTGTCAGGTAAGATGAGACGCACTTAATGTGTGTGTGGTAGATGTATCTTCATATCGATAGCCTATGATAGAGAATAGTGTAAAAGTAATGTTTTAGAACAAAATGTAGGCCTGCTTTGCATTTCTCGGTTCTTTTGGCTGTGACGCAGTTTCGCCACTTTATCCCAGCCTTTTTACGAAAAGGCTGGGATGTTAGACAGATCCACACTTTAACCTGTCTAGATCTGTTGACTGTTATTTTCATGCCTCTGGTGATGTTTTTTGTACAGAGGGATGTCGGCTGTCCGGCGCTGCAGTAACGTATAGAGGACTGTGCTGAGGATAGAGCGTTGCGCATTAAGGCCCCCGCTCAGCGGCTGTAAAGTGCAGCAAGTGGTTTTTGGAAGCAGAAACACGAATCAGAATCAAGAACAATTTGGGAAGCAAAAAAAAAAGAAAAAAGAAAAAAAAAGAACACTCATGGCTGAATTTATGCAGCCCCTTGTGTATTTGAGATTTTACCTACATGCTTTCAATGATTAAGTAGTTAAAATAGACATGAGAGACAAGCAAAGATGGGCTGCTGTTACGCACACGACCCACACCAAAACGTTAATTAGGCTACTGACTCAGCCACAATGTGATTGTCCAGCTATTAAATCCACAACCTGTCTAACAAGTCAGTTTTTGAGAGTGACGCAGTTGAGAGAAGCATTTCCTTAAGGAAACAGAAGAAGTACTAGAAGTAAATGTATCAATACCACATTGTTGTTGAAAATGTAATTCAAAATGTTACTTGAGTAAAAGTACCGGCAAGTATTTGAGTCAAAATATACTTAAGTACCAACAGTTGTTTAATAATGTCTGTTATATTATTAGATTATAATTATGTTGCATTCCTGTGTACATCACTTCAATATTGCAGCTGGTAAAGGTGGGGCTGATTTTAATGGGTGTACCCCCAATAACAATACGTCATCATCAGATATTTGTTGATTATATTTTGTATTTTTAATCTCAATCTGTACACTAAAGTTATCAAATAATTGTAGTGGAGTCAAAAGTACAATGACCGTTGTATTGTAGTGCAGTGGAACTATAAAGTAGCAGACAATGGAAATACTATAACACTAAATATAAAGTACAAGCACCTTAAAATTTAAGTACAGTACACTCGTGTAAATGTACTTAGTTACTTTACACAAAATAATCACATTAAATGTTATTAAGATTTGAGATTAAGTTTGTGGGATGACGATGTAGTTAATTTTTATTTTTAATTCTTCGTCAAAATGTATCTTATATGCTTAAAATGGTTGTGTTTCTCTACGTCGTGTATGTAATGCAAATATAAGTAAGCGCTTTTCATTTGTATCTTACAGCTGTTGTGTTGTGAGCCAGAGACAATCATGATCCTCCTGACTCCATCCTCTGGTAGGTACTTGTTTTGCAATCTCATGTCATAATCTGGATTACTGTATACCTGCACGGCCATGGGTGCAAGAGATTACAGGCAAAGTCTGCGTGGATCAAATTAGGAAGGAGAACAGCCACTGCTGTGCTGAGGGAGTTTTAAAAATGCTTGTGATAAATAAACTGGGATGGGTTTATTGTTTTTTGTTTGTTGGATATGACAGTTGCTCATGTTAGTATACGGTGAAATTACATTACAGATTCACAAACAACACCCAAAAGAATGTATAGGAGTAAATGTTGTATGACTGTTTGTGATTATTTATAATTAACTGCAATTTAGTTGCCATTTATTTTTCACTATGTCTCATTATCACAAAACAAAATAAACAGGTTTAAAATGTAAATAATTGATCTTGTTCAGTTAGATCACTTGAGATTATCCCTGTTATGAATAGTTTTCTTTGTTTATAGTTTAGTCTGTAGTCGTTACCAGGTAACATACCAGGGCATTACATAACAAGGGCCTTCCCATCATGCTTTGCACTCACGAGGCAGCAATCCAGAAATAAAGACTTGCTTGAAATTGACAGTGTGTCTGGCTCTGGCTTTATCGTCTTTTTTTATTAGTGACCAAGGCAGTGCATTAAGTAGTTAAGTTGAGTAAAACTTGACCGCAAGAGCTGCAACCCCACACACTTTTATTTATTTGGAGCTGCACGTGTTGCTTTGTAATAGTATTTATTTACTGTGACAAAAGTGAATGACCCTGATTATTCATTTAGCAAACTTGGCAATTACATGATTGTCAGAAAAATGCAGCATGCTATCTGCATTGACTGATGTGTTTACCCATGGAAAGTTTTCAGATAGTAATTCAAATACCAGGTTGTACCTTGTGTTAAAGTCCAAAATAAGAAGTAAAACGCATGCTATCAAGTAAAAGTGTAAGTTATTGTTGGCTTTTTGCTGTGTCTCATACGATGTTTTCTTTCAGATGAAGAGTCTGTTGAACTCGCCTGGCTTTGGAATCACAGGAAGTTCAGGGTGAAAAACACTTGAAGGGTTGCTACTGCAACATTTAAAAAATATTTAAATTTTGCAGGTCATTATCTGTACATTCTGTCTTGGACAGTACTATGACTTGAGACAAAGTAATGAACTCACAAGAAAGGAGGCCGACAGGAAACAAATATTTCTTTGTTTGACTTCATTAAAAAACATCACAGCTTTGTGGGGGCAGAGGCAGTTTTTGGCTGGAGCGAGGCAGTGTCAGCAGTCATTCCATCTTGCTGACCAAGAGGTAGTTTTTACTGTCCTTTACACTGGAAATGTTGTCTTCAAAACAAATAAACAATATCAAGTTAATGTTGTGCACTTTGAGGAAACAGAAAGCTTAATAAAACTTTTTCTGTATAATTTCATGCAGTTTAATATCGTAAACTGCTTGTTATAAAGAAAGGCAGACCAGGAGAGGTTGTAGATTTATTTGTATGCCACGATCACCCTTAAAGCCTTGGCTGCAGTGGTATTAATAGATCTGAATAGTTAGCTATGTGAGTGCTGCTGCCACGTCCTTGTCTCAGGTCACTACGTTTGATCAGAGTTAACAGGCTAATTGATCTCACGTCTGGTATGTGTCAGTGCAGTAGGTCCAACTCACTCTCACTATAGCCAATGGTGTATGTGGTAGTCCCCTATATTCATACTGTTCCCCACACCAGTATTTGTGTGTATTTACCCCCTGATTAAGATCACAATTGAGTGCACTTCACATGCATCCTCTTCAGACATTGTATCCTTTTTGACATTTTTCCTTTTCTAAATATTAGCTATATATATGAAAGTTTACTGCATGTCATTGTGGCAGGTTTTTTTTTGTCACAGTTAAAATATGTGTAAAATGTTTATTGCATATAAATAACTGATAATGTAATGATTAGATGATGATGAGGCACTCTTTAATGTTGCATGCTGTAGGCTGCGAATGAATAAATGTACATGACAAATGCATTTTAGTGATCTGAAAGTGGATGAATGTATCGTAAGGTTGGTCTCCGTCCAATAAACGTACGTCTTGGTAAGTGATGCTTCTTTTACATAAGACGGGGGAATCAATTTCAAATGAATATTTTGCACATTTTGAATACAGTAAAAAACACAATATGGATTCCCATTAGATGGTTTATTATTCAGTTATGCCTGGTTAAGTATTATGATTACTTTCATACTTTTTTTCCACATTTTCCCTCTCTGTACAACTGAGGTTTGACTGAAGCTGGGATATAATTAGTAAACTATTCCCATTCAGACCTATTCACCAAAAGGTCAGCTGGTATGGCCACGCAATCATAGTAGGGATTTAGCTTTTAGCTTTAGCTTCTTAAACCTCGGCAGAGGTTATTGACCCAACACAGACAACTACTAACTGCTGTTACTTTGTGGTCTCAGGTCTCTTCCAGTGTACCAACAAGTTCTTTCTGAGTGATCAGGCCACAGGACTGCAGATCAAGGAGTTTGCACGTAAAAATGCTGCTAATGCTCTGTCAGTTGCCAACATGGTCATGGGCATGGCCTCCATTCTCAGCAGTCTTAACGGGTGAGTGAACGCACCATTATTCGATGTTACTATCGGAAACCTTGGTCAGGCTCACTCAACTGCAGGATGGACAAAGTCTATAGCTTGGTTGTAATCATTGTAATCTTTTTTTTCTTCACTAAAAACAAACAAACAAAATCCCCAAAAGTAAATTTAATGAAAATTAAGGGTTTTTAAAACCAAATGTAACATTGGACGAAAAAGAATTTGCAATACAAAACCCCATTACAGTAAACGCAACATTTAAAAAAACATATTAACAACATAGAAAACACAGCAATGTGCCAAAAAAACACATTAACAAATTTAGAAAACACCAAAATACATTTCGCAAAACACATAAACAAATCAGAAAACACATTCGAACAACATAAGAGAAAACTAATTAACAAAACACAACATTTTAGAAAACATGTTACCAAAACATAAAACACAGCAACATAAATAAGAAATAAATAAAAAATATAATTTTATTGTTTTTCATTCTTAATCCTTTTTTCATCATGTTGTTGTATTTGGCCTTCAGGGCCACTGTACATTCAGTTATGCTTATTCATTTATAATGCAGTTTTCTGTACTTCCTAGATGAGCAGTACTAACCGTAGTGTAAAGAAACATAGGCAAGCACTGATAAGAAAATCAAATACCAATATGAAACCCGAGCTAAAGATGATAATTCACTATCGGACAAAGAACATTATTTTTTTTTAAACTTTATTTGTAACACTGTTGAATTCTCACAGCACTAGCCATTTTCCACCTTTGAGAATCTGCCAGTGAAATAGGTTGCTGTCATCAAATAGCTAAACCTAACACTTGTTTTATTCAGGCACCATCATGCTGCATGTTGGCTGGTTCTGATTGGCTACCTGCTGGATTTGGCAGATGGAGCAGTTGCCAGGCGACTCGGTGCCTGCTCTGAACTGGGTAAGTGGAGTGTTCAATAGCTCTTACCATAGATAAACTTCAACTGGGGTGTTGGCAGGGCTTGCTGCACAGTCCTTTGTCTGGACTTTTTAATTTGGCCGCACAAAGTCATAAACAAAAAGAACCAGTGAAAGGAAACTCTTCCACTGAAATAATCTGGATAGTCTTACAAAGTTTCTAAGAGAAGAATCATACATATTTAATGTAATGTAATTTGAGCTTTATCAAATCTGCCGTGTTAACTGTTTTTTATATGTCTAAGGACTCTGCAAGCTAAACACTTTTGCGATTTGAGTGTGAACAGCACGACCTTTCTTGCCCCGCCTCAAATAACAGGCACCCAATGCAAATATATATAAAATGTACCACTGTGGCTTGTTTTCAAAAGATCACGCCACTGTAGTAAATCAAGAGGCACAAACAGCTGTTTTAACATTGCTTCCAGTGTGAAAGTTCAGATTTATTCTGAAGCCCAAAATAGCTCCCAGGTGCATCACAATACATCGTTGGCCGCACATTTCAGGGGGCTTTGTTTCCCGACAGGGTTTTTCTGCATGACTTTGCAGGTGGATGTTGTTGTGACCCCCACGTATTTTGTCAAATGAACAATCACTTTCTGATTAAGCAGCCTAATTCCACGGGATCACGCTCCAATTGTCTATTTTATCCCGTTGCTTTGGGTTCTCAGCATATCTGAAATTGCTAAAATTGTTGACCCTGGGCTGTGGAATTCCACCTCGTTCATTTGAGCAGTGGCCTGAATCACCTCATCCTCATCTGCTGAAAACATGCTCCGTGCTCCTGAGGGATAAAGAGACAAGGCAGTGGAGAATGTTGTTTGTAGAATGGCTGCCCATTGGGCTGACACTGAAATTTCCATATAGAGATTTTTGCACGTACGCATGCCACCGTCACGTGTCAGTAACATTGGCAGTGACCTACTGGAGAGATGATAACATATCTACCCTGGCTTTAATAGAATGTTAACCCATGACTAAGGCACTGTCAAATTGAAATAAGTTTAATAATAGGACAGTTGGCGCCCACTAGTAGCCTTTATATTCAGAATTTGGATTCATATTTCAAGCATGGGTAGTGTCTGTCAGCAAGTCCTAATACCAATACAATTCATGTGCACATCATAGAGAGGCATTTAGTATTTACATTTTTCTTTTTGATGTTCAGGTGCCAAGCTGGATGATTTCGCTGACTTCACGACCTTCGGGATTGCCACATCGTTGCTCCTAAGGACATCGGACATGCTGGACAACATCCTGTGCATGTGTTATGTCCTATCTGTGTTTGTCCGCCTCTGTTTCTTCACAAGCGGTAGGTTACAAAATGTAGTACTATGTTCTTTTCATTTGAGTCTGTCATTTAACTTCCACTTTATTATTTAAATGACTTACTGGAGAGTTATTCTCGTTTGGTCCTCAGGGATCCCATTCATGTACCGCGGCCTGCCCTGCATCTACTCCTCAGCCATCCTGGCCAGTGCCTCTCTGCTGTCAGGAGGAAACATGGCCATTCTGCGGGTCATTGCAATGGCCATGATCCTCTTTATGATCAGTCAGAACTTCTACCCCCATGACAGAGTGCTGGAGTCGCAGGCCTGGAAGAAAGTAGTCTACGCTGGAGGTAAAAAATCCAGTATGATTCATATCTCCAGTGTGTAACAATTAGGAGGATCTATTGGCAGAAATGAAATATAATATTCATAGGTATGTTAAGTGGTAAGTGATTAATCATCTCAATCTAGGAATCAAACATGTTTTCGCTACCTTAGAATGAGATTATCTACAGACCTTCCAAAAAGTCAGACATGTTTCTGCAGTAGCCCAGAAAGGACAAACCAAACTGTGGCTGTAGATAGGGCCTTTCGTATTTTTGGGGAGTTTTGTAGCCACCATAGTTTCTCCAACACACTTCAAAGCCCATTCTCATCCCTAGGATGTCGAAAACACACGCCAGCTATGTTCAGTTAGTTGCAATCTGTAACTTCACCATTAGATGCCACTAAATCTTACACACTGGTCCTTTCATTTTTTCAAATTAAACTACATAAAAAAAAATTTATTACATTTTTTTCCCCCATTTTTTTCAGGAGTCGTCATGTTGTTCTGTTCTTCCTTCCCCCCTGCATGTGTGTACTACCTGCTGTGGTCTGTTTCATACATTTTGTTCCCAACATCCCTTTGGAGCAGTAAAGTGTAAAGGGGTTTTGGCTTTTCCCCAAACTCCTAAATAGGTTTACCTCTGGCCCGTATGGGTGAACTGAGGCTTCCTGCCATGGAGGATCCAAGCTGAACATGCACCACAGGGGAACACTTGCTCTATTTAACCTTTATTTTGATGTGACACCTCTAAGAAAGAACCCAGATCGAATAGAGTTAGTGAGAGGGATGAGAGGGACATTTTAATGTTACTGGTAAGGATTAACCTTCATGCTGTTCTATGTCTTCTGGCAGCATTTTCACTGAAGCCAGGTGTTGACTGGCTTGTTCTAAAAACTGAATTTTCATCAGGTTTATCTCCTGTATAATTCCTCTACTTCAGTAGTAATCCAATTTTTCATCAATGTTGTGAACACGTGGCAGCAGAGCACATAATATAACCAGAAATGATTTCAAACAAAATAATCACTATAATTTCAAATATATGTTTGCCTCTAATTTGGTTTTTAAAATGTTTAGTTTTATAATCACACAGGACATGATAACTCTTATCATGATGTCCACAGCGTAAAGCATACCGTAGCTTAATGTGTAGCTGTTGGAGTGCTACGGTGTGTGGGTAAAGCCTTTCTCAGCAACATTTTCAAGATTCGAAACTGTTGTTTCTGGCTTATCTATAACACAGTAATCGGCATTCATTCAACACTATGACCAGTCTTGTGTTAATTGACTGTTAATGTTTGTGTCAGGGTTGGGGTCACTTCTCTTTCATAGCATTCAGGATGTGGGTTTCCTTTAAATTCCATTTTTTCCATTTTGTAAGTGAAACACACAATGTTGCCGTCATTCTAATTATTTGATTTGCTGTTTGAATGTATGTTTTAAATGAGTTGAATTGAAAGTCAATGGACCCCAACCTTGGATTTTTGAATTTGGGACTTATTTTTTTTTACTTTTAGCTTTTTACCAAGTTGTGACTCTGTCCAAGAAATGATTTACATATTTCTTTATGTGTGATTTTATTGGGCCATTGTATGTGTTTGCCTCTGTTTTAAGAGGCATTGCAGTTTAAATAGTAAATCTACACTGGATCACCATCACATCTCATAGTGCTCCTCTGGCCACAGTGACATCAGTGGTGGATGTGAAGTCACAACATTTAACATGAGTAGATGTTGCAACCCATAAATAGCACTGCAGCAGCAGTTTTCTGCCTCATGTGGTTCAATGTGAATTTACCCTTAAAGAGCAACAACACACAGGCTGCAAATCTTGCTTTTTCTGCCATCTAGTGGGTAAACTTTCACCTTGCTGAAAGTTCTGCCTCCACCTTGAAGTTACTACAAGGATGTTTTTTTAACTGGCTATGAAAGTGTCCATGTAATACTGATGCCTCTATAAGACCTACAGAAGCTAATGATAAGCAAAAAGATGATTATTATTCTAAATGTTTGTCACTTGCAGTGTTGGGCAAATTACTTTACTGTCTCTGTAGAGTAACGGGTTACTAATTACGTTACCACAGGAGTATGACTAAGATGGAAGAGGGTAATGTTCCATAGCGGGTAATCAAAGCACAGAAGCTCAAGTTTATTGCAGTTCTTTACAAATCCAGTAGTGGGCGATATTGTATAGCCTAATGAAGGCGCTTCTCTGGAACACGACAGAAACAAAATAAAACTTACCAAAACCATCTTGGTCAGTCTTTCCACCAATCCAAGAATCACAAACTCTGGTTTCACAGAGTAAGGTGTGAAAATATTTAGGCTCTACACCGATGTACTCGTAATCGTCCAATCACCCAACCCTAGTGGTAACACGTCACTTTATATTACTTTGTTTCTGGTAAAAGAAATATATTACTGTAACATACAAGTACACACGTAAGAGGTTGGTCCAATTCCTTGCTAAATCAGACAAATACAATTTAAGACACGCAGACCAGTAGAGGGTACATTTTCCCAGGCAAAGTTTCGCAATGAGTTGTACATTAGCCAGCTAAAAGGAAACAGGGAGGAGGTTTTTGTTTAATTTTGACATTATATATCATGATTATGGCTGACACTGGGACAGGATCATAATTTTTCTTTCACTCTCAACCAAAATAATTGCATGTGCTAGCCAGATCAAGATTACGATGCAAGGTGGTGGAAACGCTACCGCTTTGGTCCCCAGGGGCCGCCAAAATCAAAACAAAATGAAACCTCCTTGTAGTTGCTTTAAAGGTGTTTTAACACTGCACTATAGTTGATGTTGACTGTACTCACAAATGTACCACTGGAACTTTAAACTCTATGAGTGCAAGGAAGGAGAGCAAGTGTGAAGTTACTCTTACTGGAGTCAAATTCCATACATGTGTACACAGTGAAGCTGATTCTAACTTTAAAGCTGATCTTGATTTAACTTGGCCAGTATTCAGTCTGAGGGACATCACTTTTTGTAGTTCAGTCCATTTTTAACAAGGACATCACATGTTGTTTTTCTGTATTTATGCCTCTGCACAGTGAGTGACAAATGGGAAGATTATAGTCTTGTAAGACGTTGTTCAGAATAGCACAGAATAACAGGCAAAAACATCTCAACCCTAAAGGCTACTGATGCCCCCTAATTCAAATTTCGACTCCCTCCATACGTTCTGAAAACTGTAATCCTTGAAGATGTAATCAGAGGTGTCAATTTATGGATTATCTAAATAAGTCTCCCTCACAGAGTCGCAAAAACTGAGCAGGCTGAGCAGAATTTCATAAATCATGATAATTAATACAAAAGGTCATGTCTTCAGGGTCTGATATTTATTGAAACCCACTGTGGTTCTTGACATGATTTATGAGGACCAATGTTATGAAGAAAATCCACAGTGTAAAGTGCATACGCAGACTGAACACAAATCTATATTCAGCAGTGCATTCAGCTTTCCTTTGTGGGTGTTTTGGTTTTTTAAACTAAAGCCACAGTAATGTATGCATGCCAAGAGCATTACAGATACTAAACTTTGCCCGGTGATAAAATAAGACAGAAAATGGATAATAAGATATGTGCTTTTAAGTCTGTACATTTTTGAAAATAAAGAGGTAGTAATAAAATGACTTGCTTTCGCTGTGTTTAATTCATCCTATCAAGTTACATAGCTTTCATTTGTTTTATCAATAAACCAATTCAATGGTAGACATTCAATAGCCTACTCAGTGGATGTTACATTGCAGTCTGAAAGATAATTACACTTTATATGTTAATACTTCCTATTTGTGGGTGTTGCCATATTTGGTAGAACATGAGCCTATGAGAGCAGTCCTGCCTTTCTGTTATACTCCAATGTGTCAATGACCTCAGGAACACAAATGGCTTTAGTAGCCGCTAGATGCAGAGAGGACTCCAACAGCTTTATGATGGCCGAGAAAGCAGGTCGGTCTTTGAAACTCCACATCCAACAGTACTTCATCAGATCATACCTAAATGCATAGAAAAATGAATGTAAAACACGTAATAAAGGATACCCAGAGTATTCTTTCTTGCAGAAATCAGATGAGAAGATTCTACTCACATATTTGTCCGAGAGTTTATCAATCTTCTCATTAAAATAATAATAAATAAACTGTATTTCTCAAAATGTCTATTTCTTAAACTATCAATATGCGGTGAATGAAAATGTGCTTACATTACATAAGGGACATTATATTACTCCATGTTACGTGGGCCTATTTCTTACGAGTTTACTCACAAAGGTCCACCACAATTCTCTGGTCTCTTCATTCGATAAGACCCCTGTAGCTTTGGAAGCACAGACAGAGGCTCCAGCTCAGGATATGGAGGAGAGCCTGAGAGGGAAAAAAATGAAGTATTCTTGAAGAAATAAATGTGACTTTAACGTCAATATGTGATGCTGACAATGATGTGTGAGGATGTAATCGTAAAGATTGTAGAAATCTGTACTTTACCTAAAGTAATCAGTTCATACAGTAAGATTCCAAATGACCACCTAGGGAAGAGACAGTGTTAATGTTTTAACTCATACTAAAATAATTTTCAGTCAGGAGTCATGAAATAGCAAAAAGAGATTACGTTGATGACAAAACAACATATTCTAGTTGTTTTGTGTTTTTCATTTTCCTCGCCATAACTGTGCCCTTACACGTCGCTCCTGTCGATGCTGAGCTGCATCATAATCCTCTCTGGAGCCTGCCATTTGAGAGGCACCTCTGCTGCCCTCTGCCTCATTGCTAAATCCATTTTGCGTCCTCCAAATGCCACGCCCAGCCCAGACACCCTGGCTGAGAGGCCTGGGCCAATTAAGATGTTCCTGGCACCAACATCACCATGAACCAGCCTGTGCTCTGACATCAGGTAATCCTGAGGGAGGAGCCAGTTAACACCACAAATATCAATCTTTGGTTGAATCATTCAAAATTCAAGATAAACAACACTTTTCCCTTAGTACATGAGTTCATGGTACGGACTGGCATATGCAGTACAGCATGGTGTCTAAATTGAGTTCATTTTAGTGTAGTTGTTTGTCTGGAATAATTGGTAACTCAAAAAGTGACTCACCAGGCCAGCTGCAACCTGCTTTGCCACCAGAAACACTGACTTCTCAGAGAAGTTCAGCAATGGATCTGCTATGCTTGTATCCCTCTAGAGGGGAGAAAAATGTCCTTGTGATTGCACTAAATTTAGAAAATGGAAATATAATGTTTGCAAATATAAGTTTAAACCAAAGCTGTGTACCACCATTACATTTCTGAGTGACCAGAGGAAGTGAAGGAGGTTCCCGGGGCTGTAGGCATCTAAGACCAGATACATGGGCAGACGCTTGATCTGACAGTACAGCATCTGCACCACATTCTCATGTTTACACACTTTGGCATGGAAGCGGACCCACTCCACAAACTCCTTAGCTTCAGGCTCGTTGGTGCCATCTATGTGTTACATGAACGGAGGGTCAAATAATAACAGAGAAAGCAACCGTATTATAAGTTTTTTAATTATAATTACAACTATATTTTAAAGCCTATTTAACATACTTTAACTGTCATTACACACAGAGGACTCCCATTATGACAGATTCAGGCTGTACCTCGAAGGGACTTCACCACCACAGCAGACAAGGCTCCGCCTCTCTTCTTCAGCAGACCTTTACAAATGGGGCCATGGCGACCTCTCTGCCAAAACTCTAGTCCCTCAAGAACGCACTCCTCAGGGATTTCCCAGGAATACAAAGCTGCCTGGACCTTTGAAGTGCTTACAGAAGTTGCACTGAAGGATACACTCTGTTGGCCTGCTCATAAACACAACCAGAGATAAATTAGCACCTGGCATTGGTCTCACTGATTCTGAGGGTGTTTTTATACAGTTATTGCACTTAATACCATTTGTGAAATGGGCTGAGGTGCTCTGTGCTCTTCGTTTGTTCTTGTGGAGACTGTAGAAAATAAAAGCCACCACCAGAAGCGTGCTCAGAGCCAACAGACAAGGGATGATAATGACAGCAAATAGACCTGATGACTCCTCATCTATACAAGAAGTGAAAGAAGCAGGTTCAAAATAAAGAAAGGTACGCAATAATAACATACGTTTGCAGTGCATCAAGTGCCATGTGTACAACTTACAGCACATGGGGAGCGAGGTGTCGTTGCTACATCCATGAGGAGCAGCTGGCATTTTTCACATATGAGAGAAATGGCAGATCATTTCAACAGATGAAATTCAAAAATCACCACCTGAAAAGTTCATCCCTATGTTGAGTAAAACTATGAAGTGACTGAAAATTGAAAAGTCAAGCAAGGCATGAAGTCAGATTGCTACAAATAAAAAGTTTTCCTACCTGACACCTGATGCCACAATGTTCAAGTGAACGCATATTTACAACCTTATTGTAATATAAAGAAACAGCAGCGGCATTTGAGAAATTACAGTAACAGGGCTGCAATTTGCTGCTTTTAGAGAATCGGCTCAGCTTTGTGTGTTTGCCTGCGAGGGCGCTGACCGAAGAGGTGAGTTGGAAAGTTTACTGAAGGTTAATAATTAACAAATCACCAGAAATGATAACATTAACAGGTGTCTTTCTCACACCTACTGACTTAACAGTTAACTGATTAAACTGTAATTAATATGCATACAAAAGTGTAAAGTTCAGATTTTTGGGTCTCATATGAGAAATTTGGCTCTGGTTAATCAGACAGTAAACAGAATAGCAAAAAATAACACACAGTAACATCAGTAAGTAAAAACTCATAAAAACAGGTAAAACCAACAAACACAAGGACACAAACACATACGCAGGTTTTGGGTGTTCTGGCGTCTAAATATTGTATTGAAAGCACAACACCTCTGTGTCTTTGTGCTACAAGGAATTAGGAATGTATAGTTGTGTAGTGGCACCAATGTTGCTCATAGACTCTAGGAATGAGGTGCCAGACTCTATTACTGGCTATTACGACCACAAGGGGGCAGGATTGCGCAACAAATCGCCTCCAGCAAGTATCCTACCTCTCAGTTCTGAGAGCAGGAAAGGTTACAATTCTCTAAACGCATTTAATGGACCTGAACTGCATTACAAAGCTCAAGACTGACATAGAGGTTGCAGCCCACTGTATAAAGAACACATAGACAGAGACTCTCCTGAAAATACAATAAACATTTCCCACGTGAAAATATGAGTCCCAGTGCCGGAACTCCGCCTTGCTAAACACACCATGGAAGCAAAATCCAGCGCTTCCCAACCTTAGACGACCCGCCTCTTGCTATTCCCTATTGGTTCAACGGGGAGGCTTTAGGACCGGCCCCCAATCTCTGATTGGACAGAAGCCACTGCAATCAGGAAAGCAACACGGAAAAAGATTAAAAAAAAAAAAAAAAAAAGTTATGGAGTGAAGCCTAATCGGATCACGTCTGTTTCATTCTGCTGCGTAGTTTTTAGTTGGGAAATAATCCCCACAGTGCCTCTGGAGACGCAGGGAAGAGCGCACGGCGCGTCACGGAGAACCAGAGGCAGGGCTCCGGCGTTTGGAGGAGCAGATAACCGCCCGGCTCGGAGGAGCGCCAGGTATGTTTTTCCGTTTCCAAGGACTGCCTTGCTGATGTCACCGCGGAGGAGGGCAGGAGGGGAGGACAGGTGCGCGCAGTAAAGTTGCCTCTCTGGTCGTGTCTTGGATGAAGAGCTGTCACTGAGCGGAGAATTACTCAGCAGCTGATTAATCCTTCTGCAAATCAGTTTTTGGAAGTTTCCCAGTATTTCTATAAACTCTTTTCTGGGCAGTTTTATCAATTCAGGCAGGAATTTTCCGAAGTCCGAAGTGGAATATTTACTCCGCGCTTTTGGAACTGAACAGGGTCTCTCTCTCTCTCTGGTGCGCACCAGCTGCTGGGCTCACAGGATCCGGACCCTTGCTCTTTAGTATCGGGGTTTAACGTCGTGGAGGAAGCTGCTATTGTTTTCAGAGTGCACACTGCTGTGAAGTGGGGTTCGGGGGATCTAGACGCCCCAGCATCAGAAGCAGCACTTTCCGCCTCAATGCGACACTGACGCAGCTGGTCTCGCATCCCAGTCGCAGACAGGTGATGCTCGAGTGATTCAATGGAAGGATCGCCTATCAGCAGAGGGAGTTTGATCTGAGAGAGAGTCTTCATTTCCCTGGAATGGAATACAACACAAGAAAGCAGCATCAACTTCTCTAATCTGCAATGATTTTCCCGTGAGTCATCGCGTCTTAGGATCAGAAACGGGTTTATTTTTTTGCGTTGAAGGACAACTGTTCGTGGACTTCCCTCCGAGGTTTTACAAGAGCTACCAACAATGTCCAAGACACTGAAAAAGAAGAAGCACTGGTCCACTAAAGTACAGGAGTGCACCGTGTCGTGGGGGGGTTCCGGGGAGTTGGTCACGGTGGCGGAGGTGCGAGGCGGCGCTGAGCTGGGAGAGTTCCCCTACCTCGGACACATAGTTTCGGAGGCGTTGGTTTGTCACGCTGGGAGGTTTCCCAGCGGCGGGGACGTGCTGCTGGAGGTGAACGGCACTCCAGTGAGCGGACTCACCAACCGAGACACACTGGCTGTCATCCGCCACTTTCGGGAGCCCATCCGCATGAAGACTGTGAAACCAGGTGTGTGCCCAATTTACCATTTTAAAATCACAAAGACCCCCCCCCACACACACACACACATATACACACAACCAAACCTGCCCTGTGTGCCAAGTGCTTTAAAATGGTTTGTTACAGCACTGTTACCTGAAGATTGGGGGATCTTAGGACAGGTCAGACTAGTGCCATGAATAAATAAGAAAATAAGAGGGACTTGAGGATACAGCCTCTCAGCTGAGCCCCTGTTTGCCTATAGGGCAATGTGCTGAAGGATCAGGTGTGTGTGTGTGTGTTTGGAAGCTAGTCCACAGGTCAGTTCTGTCTGTTTCAGCTACGCATATCTGAATTGTCTATCTGCATGCTTGCTATCATTCAGGTGGGGACACAACATTTTCTACAGCCCCTTTGCTGCAGCAGTATAAGTGAGGGACATTCTGTTTGTTCATAGTGCCCAGATCAGCATGCACTACAAGATAAGCCACACACAGTCATTAAGCTTGCACCCCTTTGTCTGAACTCACTCTGTAATCTTCTTTGCATCCATGCACAAGTGCTGCCTGTTCTGCTCTGGGATTGTGTACAGTAAAACATTGTAACCACACATGCATGAAGGCACACACACACGGCTTTAATGCTGGTGAAATTCTCTGTCTGTGAGCTCAGCTAAAAGCTTATTGATTGGATTTATGTGTCTGCCATTAACTGACTTACTAGCAATTGTTTTGTGCTCCTTCAAGACTACCGGACATGCCTAATGAATGTGTTAAATGTGCCTAAACATACTGAGAAGTCAAACTCTACCAGTCCTGTGGGACAGAAGGGGCGTGTGTATTTGTGTGGATGGATGGATTTGATGGAGGCACTGCTGAGTGTGGCACTTTGCACAACACTTAGCAGGGATTTGTTAATGGTTGCTTTGTCAGCTTAGACAGTGTCATATACTTGCAGCATTGAGGTGAGTCCAAGTCTAATTGAATCAATTAGGCCCATATCCTTAAATCCCCAGGATGCCGCACTAGCCTGGCGACACAGTTTGGCGCCAGTACTGTCAGGAAGCAGATTGGCCCCTGCGCTATACATCAGGTTTACCTGCTGAGTAAGGTTAAGGCATGATGTTGAAAATCTAATATCACAATATTATTAAGACAATTCTTTTCAGTGTTCGGTGTTTCAGCGCAGTGAGCTGGGTTTCACTTTTAATGCGTCACAACGAGACCCAAACTTTCAGTAGTTGTGGCACGTCAAAATTGAGTAGGGCTGCGCAATTAAATGGCAATGTTGATATTGAGATCGCGATATGGCCAAGTGCAATATCCAAAGAGCAGAAAGGTGATATAGGTGATAAGGTATACATGTGTAACAAAACAGCATTATGATGACGTACTGTGGCACTGCAAAGACGCCCTGGCCTACAAATCTTGTTCCCCAGATTGAAGAAAACATGTTTGTGTGGTACAGACCTCAGTAAATGTCACAACTTTTAAATGATTTAAAGAAATAAATAAATAAATCCCACTAATCGTGACTCATATCGCAATATGATGTATTCCCATATGGTGCAGCCCTACCTCGGGGGTGACTTCAATTTGTGTTGTATCATTTAGGCTGTTTAATCTTCTGTTTTCTTGTGTTTGGATACTAAGTGTGCCTATTCGCTGTTCCACAACATTAGCTCTGGTACAAGGGTTTTAACGCTTTGTCTTGACCTTGTGTTATATAATGTGATTCCCGAGCCACACTTTGGCGTATGCAGGCTGCGTACGGTAGGTTCCTCTGCTCCCCTTGGGGCCTCACTGTGTGTTTATATGTCTGTCCCCTTTTCTCATGATTAATTCATGCATCATCCATCATTAATGGCTGCTCCGTGCCGAGATGAGGTGGCTGATGGGCGGATCAGATGTTAGCGGACTTGTTTGGATGAAACTTGTATCCTCGGGAGTGAGGATAAATGCTGAGACTTGAGTGTTTGGAGTTTGTTAATTTTGGGTGAGCGTTGTGTGTCTGTGGACTGTGGTCACAGCACAGTGTTTCATGTGTGCTTTGTGTTTGCACAACACAGCAAAAGAAAAAGTTCCATCAGCCTGAAAGAGAAGCATTTACATTATTTTGGTTTGTCTCCCTCCCTGCTGCCTAGTTCGTCTTTACTTTATCTTCTCCCCTCAGCAGATTATGCCTTATCATCACATTTTGCCAGCCCCCTCATCTCTGGTATTTTCTTTCCTTTACTACATTATTCTATATTTCACTCTGATTCTCACTTTTGCCTTGTTACCCTTTCTCCCACTGCATATTTTCTTAATTTTTTCTCCAGCCACTTTATCCTCTAATTAAATCTAACAAATGGTTTAAGATTTGCACAACATTTCTTCAGAATATTAAACCTTTAATGATACCCACTGATGACACATCTAGCTCCTAAAACAAGCGGGATTTTGCGCCCACACTACAGCTGGGACTTCTCGACACTTCTCCCGCACGGCCAGGACAGAAAACAGAAGTTTGTCTTGAGTGGTCCTCTGGCTCCAGACCAGCCGATGTGCTCAGTATGCAGCTCCCATCCTGAGAGAGGAGCGAGGCAATAGGCAGTAACCTTGAGGGGGACCGTTGAGAGTAGAGGCGTAGTGATCGCAGATACCTATTGCAGCTTGGAGACTTGTGAGTGGACAGCTCATTGATTAATGCTGTAAACAGACTTAGATCTGCTTGTTTTTGCCTGATGGAGCTTAATGGATGGACCATTTAGCTCTCAGGTCCCAGAGCACCCTTGATTCACAAATCAGGTCTGTAATGGAAACTCAGAAAGGAGTTTTTAAAACCCCTTTCCCCCTCTTTGAAAGATAAATAATGGTAATGATATACTGAGATGTCCATGGCTCACTCTGTATAGTGCTACTCCAGAGACTATATATGAACATAGTATATAAATACATCTCTGAGGGCAAGGTCTAGATGGGAAGACTCTTATCATAGGTCAAAGTTTTGACTTATATGATGTGAAGTGTTCTTCCCTGTAAAGTTATAGTTTGAAAACATGTGTCAAACATTCTTATGGTAACTTTGCTGGATAAATGCACTTGACAGTGCTTGACAGTATGAGCTACAGTGGCATTATGACCATACCTCGCTGCCTTCATGTGAAGTCCTATACATTTAATACACGCGTAAAGTGATGCCAGTTCATTAACGTAGGGCCGTGATCATCCTGTGGAGCTGTGTAAAATCTTTATAAAAGTGCCACGGATGTTTACTAAATGAAACCAAAGTAAAGTGTTTATAGATGTATTTATTTTCAGTCATATTCATTTTGTATTCAAAAGATGAATGAGTCAGTTAAGAGTCTTGAAAATCCCCGGGAGTCTTCTAGCTACAATGGAGTATTTTTATTTCGAGCACTTTGCAGCTATACCTACAGAAGTGAGAAAGGAACTGCAAACGTGTTATTTTCAGGCAATCACACTCCACTTAATGCCTGAGGAGAGGCCATAAAAATTTTTTTTTT